CATCTCGTTCCCAACCTTACTGCTCTGCCCACCATACTTGATAGGCTGCTTAGAAGAACCACGAGATTTTTGATATGCCTCAATTTGAAACTTTAGATCTTTGAAGTTTCTAGCCTGGTACAAAATGACTTTGTTTGAGCTTGTATCTGGAATACCCTCTATGAAATACTCGATCAAACTTTCTTCTTCCAACTGAATGGGCTTGGCTATTTCCATTAGAGCATACAGGAATTCATGCAAAGATTCACCCTTATGCTGCTGACGTTTTCCTAACCTGCGATGAACTTCTGCTGAGGACAGCTTGACTCCAAACTCTTCCAACAAAGCAGTTTTCAAACTTTCCCAATCTTTTATGTTTCTCTGGCTACGCACAAACATCTTCGCTGCTCCACACAGCAACTGTTTTGCATACACGAATACCTGTAGCTTGTTCCACTCAACTGTAGCAGCACAATCTTCCAACTCTCCTATCCATTGATCCATATCTGGAGACTTCGATCCGGAAAACTGAGTTACACTGCCCTCGACATCTTTAAGAGTGAACCACGATCTACCCTGCCTCTCAACTCCTAGTCCTTGATGCCACCCTGCTCTGTTTTGCTCATTAATAGCAGTTGCCGCGGATGTCACCGATATATTGTCTTCACCACCATCCTCCGTCTCTGACTCACCATCGACATTTCCTTCATAGTGTGTGTTGCAACTCCACTTTTAATCCAGTCGTACTCAATTGCACCTCCGACAACTTCTGACGCAACTCTTCAACTCGCAATGCCAAGATCTCGCTTCTCTCCATTATACAAATTTAACCTGTAGGAAATTTAGTGAAATACAATGTCAAATGATTGTTTAAATCTAGTTTTTCCCCACAAAATGTAAATATAATAACAGCCCTGTCCACTATCACGATGCTTATTTTTTTTTTTTGGCAATCGATAACAATGTTAACCCTTGAAGCCCCTTGCATACAATACGAAACTTTCTGGCAACACTCCGTCACCAGTCTGGCTTGTCTTTCCGTCCCGACGATGTTAGCTGCCGTCCCGCTCTGTCTCGACGATGTTAGCTGCCGTCCCGCTCTGTCTCGACGATGTTAGCTGCCGTCCCGCTCTCTCTCGACGATGTTAGCTGCCGTCCCGCTCTGTCTCGACGATGTTAGCTGCCGTCCCGCTCTGTCTCGACGATGTTAGCTGCCTTCCCGCTCTGTCTTGTGTACGCCGCTCTCGGTAGCGTCACACACACTTTGAAGACTTCCAAACTCAACTGGAACCTTCTGGTCGTCTTCGTCTGTTGCAAAAATCCGTGCACCAGCCCTGAGCCTACACGTTCTTGCACACACGCTCCGATGACGCAACCAGATCCAAAATCTGGGAGCTTGTCCAAGTTCTCCAGCACGTGTCCTTTTGATCTCCTGCCCTGCTTCCAGACTCTCTGCACGATCCGCTGCTTTTGACTATTCCGCTCTTTACCAGCACCTTGTGTATGGGTGAGTCGCCGCTCCTCGCTGCCTGTGCGCTTTACCTTGCCTCGTTGCTTGCAATTGCGCGTCTCTCTGATGAAATTCTTGGTGCCTCGCTGTCACACTGCTGTTGTCTCTGTCGCACTCCCACCAATTTGCTTATGACGACTTTCCGACCTCTCCAGCCTTTTCTTTGCGAATTGTCTTTGAATTTCACGTTCTTTTCCGAAAATTAAGCTCAATCTTTGTCGAATGGTAGGCTATAATCCTGGTTGAGCCCCCAAATTTGCAGAGTCCTTAGTTTGATTTTAAGAACTATAGCGGTTTATTTAAAGGTATATAGTTTATTCCGTTCGACTTAGTTTTTAACAAAAGGGTTGTGTCTTCTACGAGATTGCGGCAGCGACTGAAAAGGGCGGTACGTTGCCACTCTTTTTCTCACGTTGCAACTGAGTCCGCATCTCCTATCGATATTTTAGCGTAGAGACAGAGGATTAATGGTGTTCCCGCTTCTGGTGTTCCTTGGCAGTACCCTATCACTACCGCATCCCACATATATTATATTATATTTTATATATTATATTTTAAAGCTACATTATACTTACTTATTTATTTTTTTTTCTGTTTTTACTTTTACTTTTTTTACTTTTCCTTTTTTTACCCGTACTCAAAAAAAAGTTTGGGGGTTTTTTTTTTTTGGGGTAAAAGTGGATGTGTGTAACGCAGAGAAGGAAACGTTTCCGACCCCATAAAGTATATATATTCTTGATCAGCATCAATAGCCGAGTCGATATAGCCATGTCTGTCTGTCCGTCTGTCTGTCTGTCCGTCTGTCCGTCCGTCCGTCTTGATGAGCGCCTGGATCTCAGAGACTATAAGAGCTAGAGAAACCAAATTTGGTTTCCAGACTCATGTGTTATCGCACTGCTACAAGTGTATTTCAAAATTTCGCCCCGCCCCCTTCCGCCCACACAAAGGACGAAAATCTGTGGCAGGCACATTTTTAAAGATACGCATTATCGTAGAGAATGACCATATCTACCAGATTGCCGAATCTGAATTAGATCGGATCATAATTATAGCCAGAATGAAGAAATTAATTTTCAGTTGCTTCCCCTGCCCCCTCCTGCCAACGACAACGCAACTCATTTTCCTTCTCGCTCGCACACTCTGCCGCGTTCAGTGCGCGAGCAACCCCTAGCGGAGGAGATGTAGAATCTAAATGGTACATGTATAATCTACATGTTAGATGTAAAATATACATAATATATGTAGATGTAGATAAAAGATGTAGCAAAAATATGTAAACATTTTTTTTTTTACTTTAAAATTCTAAAAAATCATATGCTCAAAAATGTATATGCTGACAGAGTGGGAACGAATTAATTGCGTTCCTTCTCGTTTTACTTTTATTTTTATTTTTTATTTTGAAAAAAGATTTTTTTTTAAATTAAAATTAATACAAAAATTCAATTTAAAATATCAAAACATTTTAAAATAATTAACGATAGCAATATGATTGGTGATAGACATTTGCGCAGACTAGTTAAGAAAGAAAGGGAAGAATTGGCCAGAAAATTTGAACTTGTCGATCGCCAAGGAGTAGAAAGGGAATCTGATATTCAAATAGACTGCGCAGATTCTGTAATGCAGGAAGATGTTGAAGTAGTGCAGGAAAATGTTGAAGTAGTGCAGGAGGGCATGGAAGTAGAATTGGCACAAGAAGATTTAAATTCAAAACTTAAGAAGTGGTTTGTAAAGCACAAACCCACGCGTAGTTGTGTTTTCGATTTGATAAAGATTTTAAATGAGGAGAATTTGAACATTAGAAAATTGTATAGATTAAATTGCAAGGAAAAGCCTGATATAGAGCATATAGGTGGCGGCTCCTATATGCATATCGGTATATCCAAGCAATTAAATAAATTTTCGGTGGTTCAGAATCTTCCCGATATACTAAGCATTGACGTCAATGTTGACGGTCTTCCCTTGTTTAAAAGCTCTCGATCGCAATTGTGGCCCATTTTAATTAGAGTAAATAATATAAGCAATATATAACCTACCCGATAGGTATTTTTTCGGGTCACAATAAGCCTTTCAATTCCGTAGAATTTTTGTCAAAATTTTCAAGCGAGTTGTCCGACTTAAAGGCCAATGGCCTCACCATTCAAAATAAAACGGTCATCTTGGAAATTCGAGCGGTTGTTTGCGATGCTCCTGCAAGAGCATTTGTTACAGGCACACCTGGACATACATCCAGACACGGCTGTACTAAATGCTTACAGGTAGCATTTACATGCTACATTAACTTACAGCACTCGTTGTGCAGAGTTAATAACAGGTGAAACTTTTTCAAACAGAAAGTACCCAAGTCAGCATACAAATGATTATTTTATGGTTCAGTCCGCTTTTGAAAAACTGGCGTTCGTATGATAACCCAAGTTCCCCTTGATTGCATGCACCTGGTAGAACTGGGTGTAATGCGAAAGTTTTTGAACAGAATAAATTATAATAAAGTAGAAAGAAAAATATCGAAGGAAATCAAATGTACGATTTCCGAGATATTAACGTCAATGCGTAGTCACATACGTAGGGAGTTTGCACGGAAGCCGAGAACATTGTTAGAGCTTCCAAACTGGAAAAGCACTGAGTCTAGTCAATTTTTTTTGTACACTGGCATTGTAGCTCTTAAGGATACAATCCATGAAGAGCAGTATTACGTATTTTTATTGCTGCACTGCGCATATAGACTTCTCTGCTCGGAAAAGCAACGCGAAAATAATATAGAAAACGCTCAACAAATGTTGAATCTTTTTCTTGAAAATTATAACTATTATTTTTGGAAAAAACAGTGTGTCCTACAATGTTCACGGATTACTTCACGTAAGGGAAACTGTTAAGCAGATCGGAAATCCGATTTCAGGATCGTCTTACGCTTTTGAAAACCATTTGCAAACTCTGAAAAATTTTGTCCGTAAGCCAAAACATATCCTAGAGCAAATTTTCAGAAAAACAGTCGAAGATAGGTACGTGGCTCCCGGAAGAGAACAAATATTGTTAGTAGGCAAGGTTCTCAAGATTGAGAACTGTATCCTTAAAAGTAGTAAGCCAGACAACTTTTGCTTTTTAAGAGGAGATATTCCTATTGAAATCGAGTCATTTGAAGAGGAATTAGGAACAATTTTTATTATAGGTAGAAGACTTAAAGACATCAGATGTTTTTTTAGTATGCCATTAAATTCGACCTGAATATTTTGAACGGAAAGCCGTTGCCATGCCATATCAGGGGGAAATAGTTTTAGTTCCATTTTTGATTAGGTTTTTGCTATTGTTACTTATTTTAAATTTTATGTCTTTTTGTATTAAAAGAATCAAAAGTTGGTGTTTAGTCCGAAGGCGTGATTTATTTGCGAATCGGGCATATCTATAGTGCCGGCGCTATAGATATCTTTGGAAGATTCACCGGCTTGTTTCCAAAACAAACAAACAAAAATAATTGTATTGCATTAAATTCATTTAACATATTTTTTTTAGTATGGACAACGAACAATCTAGCAACATCAAGCGCTTTGTGTTTGCTTCAGAGCGTAAGTATACAATTCGTGTGTTTGATATATTAAATAAGTATTGACCTAATTTGCATTGTTATTTCTAGAACCTGAACCAAAGGAACAGCCTGAATCGCGTAAGTATATGCTTTTTGATTATTTTTTGTATTGTTGCTAAAATAAACATTTTGGTTACAGAGATATCAGAACAACAGATTATTGCGGCGATTAAAAGTAAGTTATAATAATTTTTTTTTCGTATATTTTCATGTATTCTAATGTCTTTTAATGTTTAAATTTCAGAAGTGAACTGCACAAAAAAATCAACATTTTGCAAGGAAAATTTGATGTGTTGGCGGAATCTTTGGCGGAGGCGTTGGCCCTGTTGAAGGTTCAAGTGAGAAAAGATCGAAAAGCCACTTCCCAATCAAATCAAGGGAAGAGTTAGAGGAAATAAACGGCGCCATAAATGAGAAGCACATTGACCTATATGTAAGTGCAAAATTAATATCCTCCGATTTCAGTTTTGTTTTGTAATTTTTTTTCTATTTTAGACAACGAAACTGAAAAATATTTTGGGGACCGGCCAATCGTTGGCAAAATGTTTAAAAAATGTGCTCGACGAGGAGCTCTTGATGGAGTACAATTTGGACGGGACATCAGGAAAGAGTTCCCTGAAAAATTTGAAAAATTTTTATAGAGCCCTGGAAAGTAAGTCCAAGTTTTAACAAAACATAAAAATATATTAATTGCTTCATATAATTTCAGTGGCGGTGCAGTTGAAAATTCCCAATGAGCCCGCTGAGAATACAATAAGGAAAGCGATTCACAACATAAAAAATGGAGCATTTCAAAAATTATCTAGGGCGAAGAAATTAAGGGCTCAGGGCCAGCCAGATGATACCAAAATTTAATATAAATAAAAAAAATTCATTAACAAAAAATGAAATGTATCACTTATTAGGGTCTTAATTTTTAAGGGAAATTCATCGCTTATTAAGGCCTTACTTTATTAGGAAAAGTCATCGTTTATAAAGGCCTTACTTTCTAAGGGAAATTCATCGCTAATTGAGGCCTTACTTTCGGCTAATTCTCGCTTACTATGTCATCGATTATGCTCCTAGGACATCCCCGTGTTAAAGTAAACAGCCCATCGTATGGCAGGTCATCGCTTATGTCATCGAGCTGCATGACGTTGCCATCGATGTGTGGTTGCTTACACATCGCTTACCCGTACTGCAGGGAACCAGCAAGTGCGTATGTGTGCGTACTTGTGCGAAGCAGACGATTTTCGAGACGAAAACCTTTTTATGAGTCTAGAAACGAATTTAATTATAATCGTTAAATACGTCGCACGCTGAATACCCTACTGACAATTATTCCATTGTGATGTCATATATTAAATATATAATGTATTTTTATATATGTACTAGCAGACCCGCGCGCTTCGCTGCTTACTATTTCAATGTTTAGGAATTCATCGAAATTAAAAAATGACTATTTTGATGTAATAACATATTTCATTTATTGCAATGCTTTGTGATAAACAATATTCTTTGTTTTTTCGTCGGTACAATGAATAACACTAGTCAACACGACAATTGGGCTGTGGCCCAAAATGACTTTTTCTTATAGATTTCGGGGTTTACAATTTTTAAACGAATTATTGTTGTTTTTTTTTAGGTTTAGTTTTCTTTTTTAGATTTTTCTAAAATCTGGTATTATTTTAATGTTTTTTCAGAGGTAGCGCTTCTACCTCAGAGAAAGAAGTATATGTACATTAATATTACTTACAAAAAACTATTAAAAACAAAGAGAATGTTTTGAAATTAGTAAAGGTATATATTAACAAAAAAATTCCAATATTATTTTCATAAACTTTGAAAATAACTAAATATTAAATGAATAACTTTCCATTCATATGAAATAAGTATATGTGCATTCTAAATGAAAATTAAAAATACTAATCAAATTATTAAAAAAAAATTTTTTTTTGCTTATTGTTAGCTAGAAATTTGATTTATCCGGGTGGGCATTGAGGTTGCCAAGTTTTTAAGGGTTAGGGTTAATTTGATACCATTCCTGGAGGTTTTTTTTTTAGGTCATTTACCGTATCAAACTGTCGTCCATTCTTATACATTTTGTTGGATAATATTCCCCATTGATCCTCTATTGGGTTAAGGTCCGGGCTGATCGCTGGCCATTGCAATAAGGGAATCTTCCTAGCTTGCAAAAAGTTTTTTGTTTTTCGTGCCGTGTGAATGGGACAACGCCTGCTGGAAGATCCACTGATCCCCGTAAAGGTTTCCAGCAAATTCAATGAGTATTGTTTCCCAGATCTTCCACCGTGGTTTCGTTTATGGCAGTGCTGCCGTGGTTGCCTTTTGTCGCGCCAATACTTTTGGCAGGAGTCAGGACCGTCTAAGTTAAATTTTTTTTCATCCGAAAATATAACTTTAGTGAACTCCTCTGGCCAAAATTTGTACTTCTCAGCAAATTCTAGTCGAGCGGTTGTGTGGCGCTTCAATAACCTCGGTACAGCGTCGCGGGAAGCATATGTAACCATTTCGATTTCGTTTAAAATTTGATTTATACGTCTTTTGGATATGTCAAGCTTCAGTTTACCTTTGATCTCCATGCAAGACTTGTTGTTTTGAACGGCTAGACGACGAATTTGCCTCTTGCACCGCGTATCGATTTCAGTGGGTCTGCCGCTTCGCTTTATTTTTGAATGTTTGTTCTCATATTATCGTATATTTTAATTTACAACGAAGCATTGATCGCTATTGAAGACCTTTGCTTGATGATGGCAAGCAAAGCACTAGCTCAATTAGGTATGACAGCGCCTAATCGTGAAATACACGAACTTTTCAACAAAGAACTGGAGAGTGAACAACAGTATGATCATGCCGAGCTTAATGCGTTTGTGCAAAACAATGAGCCACAGTTAAATATGAATCAAAGAACGGCTTACGAAATATATTGCGAGCATATTACATATCGAACAACAACATGGTGGGCTGTTCTTTTTGGATGCAGCTGGAGGTACCGAAAAAACGCCGTGCGACCACCATCCAATAATGTGGCAGCGATGCCAGACGAAGCCAAAGCCAATGCGATTCTACCTTGTGCTCGAATGGTAGCCAAAATAATCGAAATGACAAACGTTTTTTCGGATTATACTCGAATTATACTTTCGTATATTGTTCAACAAATGATTAGACTCAGGTTTCAATCCATTAAGTAATGTGCTCAATGATTGTGGTGGGCTGCCCAATTCAGGCAATTTCACTTTACCACTCGCACAGCATATCCCATCTGCTTCACCTTTAAGCATAGTATCCAGCACCGCGGAATCTAAAAATTCCTGTCGAGCTTCATATAAAAAAAAACTGTGACAGGAATCTTTCGTTTACGTTTTCCTGGAGTGTGTATTCAGCAACACAAGCGGAATCCACAGATTAATATCCATAGTTGCCTATCGGGAACGTGTGTGGACTGAGAGAACAGCTGATACCCAGATCAGGAATATATGTTCAACAATTATTCCCGAAGTGAATGGTGCAAGATGAGGCAAAAACTGTGCGCAAAACATAAAAGAGAGATGCAAATTATTCTTTTTTGTTGTGCAATAATATATGCCGCCACCGACACAATCACTTTATCGTCAGAGTTAATTTTTTTTTCATTTTTATACCCGTACTCAAAAAAGAGTTAAGGGGTATATTAGATTTGTGGTAAAAGTGGATGTGTGTAACGCAGAGAAGGAAAAAGTATAAAGTATAAAGTATATAGAGCCATGTCTGTCTGTCCGTCTGTCCGTCTTGTTTGACGCCTGGATCTCAGAGACTATAAAAGCTAGAGGAACCAAATTTTGTTTCTTGACTCACGTGATATCACACTGCTACAAGTGTATTTCAAAATTTCGCCCCGCCCCCTTCCGCCCCCACAAAGGACGAAAATCTGTGGCAGCCACAATTTTAAAGATACGATAAAACTAAAAACGCAGTATAGTAGAGATAGCCCATATCTACCAGACTGCCGAATCTGAATCAGATCGGATCATAATTATAGCCAGAATGACGAAATTAATTTTCAGTTGCTTCCCCTGCCCCCTCCTCCAGAAAATGACAGCGCAACTCATTTTCCTTCTCGCTCGCACACTCTGCCGCGTTCAGTGCGCGAGCAACCCCTAGCGGAGGAGATGTAGAATCTAAATGGTACATGTATAATCTACATGTTAGATGTAAAATATACATTGTAGATGTAGATGTAGATAACAGATGTAGCAAAAAAATGTAAAATGTAAAATTTTTTTTTTTCTAAAATTCTAAAAAATCATAAGCTCAAAAATGTATAACTGACTGAGTACGGGTATAAGTAGAGTCGCGTCCCCAGAAGCGACTCACACGTTCCTTCTCGTTGAATTTATGAAATGCCAGAACGACCTGGGATTAACCTTAAGTCCCCTTTCAACGTCAGCAATATACTGATTATATAAAAATTTGTTTAAAAAATCAAACTCCCGCTTATGCTGCACATATCTGGCCCAGTCAACAGAGTCACGGGTTTTCTTAAATCGTTTAAAGAACTTGTTACGCAGATTCTTATGCCTCACAAGACCCTTCGTATACCATAGTAGCCTATACGAGCCACGCACTCTTCTGGAAGCATTATTATCAACAATATTATGAACGGTACGAATGAAAACATTGTTAGAAGAGTCAGCACTAGGATGCCAAAGAACAGAAGCCCAGTTTACGTTTATGACATGTTAATAGCAGTCAAACTTACATCAGTAAAAATGTATTCAAACCCGGGTTCAGACCAGGGCGAGTAACTATAGAATTAAGCTGAGAAGACCAACGGCACGTGATGCATGTCACATTCTGCAATAGGCAGCTCGCAACGTGCAACAGGGCAATCAATATCCGCACTAACAAAAACTAAATCTAGAATCTTATTTAACCTATTAAAAACATTATTTATTTGGGTTAAGCCCATACTATAACAGTCATCCAGAAAAATAACTTCATGCTGTAAATGCACATTACTCGGCATCATAGCCGCAGACTGCGGATCAGCGGACCATACCAAGGAGCCCAGATTAAAATCGCCAACAACGCAAAGATGCTGATGACCTTGTAGATTACCATATATGTTGGCAATATTCAGCGTGTGCGCCTTGTAGACTTCATAGCTGCTATTCGGTGGAATATACGACGCGCTGATACATAGCGTCTCCGACTGACCGGTCACTGACACACCAATCTGATCCAGGATAGAGTCACCATCAAGGAGACAAATCGGATCACAGCGTAGGGTGCGTCTGATGTCCACAATGATACCACCTCCTCTCCGACGCTTAGTTTTGGGTCAGTCTCTGTCCTTACGAAACACTTGGAAAAGGTTGGGATCGAAATACTCGTTGTCGAAGAAATTTGAGTTGAGCCAAGTTTCAACCAAACTGATGATATCGAAATCGCACGTAGAGGTTGCCAAATAGACAGCCTGGGCCTTGGTGCGCATACCAGCTATATTTTGCAAATATATGCGTAGGGATTTAGCTCCGTCCATCGGCAGGTTCACAGAAAGTGGCAATGCCGTCCGGCCAGCGCCCACGGGAGGAGGCTTCAGAGCATCACCGGGCAGTTCGCAATGAGCAATAGGGGCCTGACCCACATGTGAAGCCTGCCGAATCGTCGCCGTGCGGAACAGCGGACTATTACCGTCATCCAGAAGATTATGCGGGAACGCAGCAGGGAGATCCAATCTTGTCAATAGAGCTGACAATATCACGGAAGAGAGTGCACCACTAAAGAGCGAGCACCGGGCTGCCGACTCTCCCCAAGTGTCGAGGGCAGCGCCGACGCAAGCATAGCACACG